ATAGATCACATGCAATTGTAAACAGAAACACTCGGTGAGTCACTCTATGTTCAGTTCTATACAATACTTCGAAAGGTTGCGGCTTTCAATCTATCAATGTTCATTAGCTGTAAAATCAAAGTCATTGGCATAGCCTTCCAACCCGTTGCACTTGAAATTGTACGGCCCTTAACTTCATAAACCAAAGCAAATATATTTGACGCAAACCGAATGCTAGAATATTACACTGATTAAGAAAGAATCAAAGTTACCTCGTTTTATGGCTCGTTATAAATTTCGGACCAACAGTCTCGTCAAAGGCTTTCTCCAAGATAACCAAATATAAAATGTTTTGATTTGTGAGTTTTGTTTTTGTACCAAGTATGTAATTTTTTACATACTGAACTTGTCTTTCCTTTAACCATGCCATCTATATGATAATAATAGTGGATCATACCAAGGGTCTTACAATCCATGCCACAGCCCAATGAACAGGCAGCAAACTAGAAAGTTGTGTAAACATACTACATATAATGAGACTGGGAACAGAAATGATTTTTTTTCCCTCGAACACGTCGATGTATTTCGAATTAACAAATGATAATTGAATAGCGAGTAAAACCCTTTGAGATGCGTTAGWACGTGATGCACGTTGAAAACACAATAATGTTTGAACATTTGGAATGCTTGTTATTTATCATCAAAGTAAAAAGAATAAATAGGTTCTTTTCTTTGGTACAAGGTGTCCATAATCTGTAAATAGAATGGGGGTTGGGACTTTAATTCTTGTCCTCGCACGTACTAAAGAAACATGCATAGGACATGTGGCAATTTACACAAAGGCGTTTAACTTGTTTGCAAAATAATCCTTTTGTTTTGACACGAGTTACGAAAGAGATTAATTAGCGCAATTGAAGGTTCTCCTGCAACTACTAGCTGTCGCAATGGCAAGTTGGCCAGGCAACGGCAATTGGTATGGAAATGGCAGTCTGGAAATCGGAAATTGGTCTGGTACCGGAATTGTCGTGTAAAAGCAGCTAGTATATCTGACAATGGCAATGGGTCTTTTTGAGACATTGGTCTGGTAGCGAGAGCTGGTCTTGCCAAAACAATTAATATGGGCAATGGAATTCATTTGCAATTGCATTAATCGGTCTTCCAATAAAAGCAATTGGCCTAAAACAACGAATAGGTTTGGTAACATCAATTGGTCTTCATGTCAACTTAATAGCAATTGATGTCCTAATGGCAATGGGCCTCGAAACATCAATTGCCCTCTCAACGGCACCTSGTCATGCCGGCAAAGAATCGCAGAGAACTATTGCAAGATGATGGATTGCCACTCGAAGTTATAAAATGGCAAATCGCACGCGGCTCTTCAGTTAGAGAAATTCCCACAAACAACATGTTAGGGTTTTCTCCATTCCCTCTGTCTTTAAAGAGTTTTCAAACATTTTTTTCCTGTCAAATAAACCTTAAGTTTAATTCGTCTGCATTATTATCACATAGCTATACAAAGACGTTTTTATTCTTCCTAGACATTAGATTTTAGCAGGTGAAACGTGTTCATTTGCACGCCTCTACCAGGGTAAAGCACGAGCAAATGCAACACTGTACCTGTTGAGTGATTGGACCGATTGTCAATATCGATGATATTTGATGTAACTAGAACAAATCTCAGTCACGAATCAAACAATACACAGGAAGTACTGTTCTTCGGGAACACAAGTTCAAATTGACAATTAACAGCTTCTATTGTGAAGGAAACCCCCCTCGTTGACTGGTGTCTTATTAAACTCTTGATGCCCGACTTAGAATTGTGTTGTAGAATGATTTGTTGGTACATTTTATAATTTTATACTTAAAAAGCGAAATTCTCGTGGTCATATAGCTGTCTTTTTCTGTTACTAACATGGTTTCTTCTTCTTCTTCTTCTTCTTCTTCTTCTTCTTCTTCTTCTTCTTCTTCTTCTTCTTCTCAGCTTCTTCTATAGAATTTATGTCTTCCATGACATGAATTACGCTGTTACCTTTCGTAGGAGGGCTATGAGACATGATTTTATTAAGTCTTACAGCTTAATAGATGCAAAGTAAAAATGCATGCATTGCTTCTTTTTTTTAGGAGAGCTGTGTCTGCGAGCGAACGCAGTGTCCTTTATGAATCGAGATTTGTTAAAAAATCTAAAAGAACCTGATTTCCCAAGAGACGTGTCCCTAGGATGGCACCACACCAAGGACTTGGCAATCATCACCCCAGAAGGAAGGCTGAAACTCCATGGTAGAATGGATAATTTGATCAAATGTGCTTGTGATTCCATCCAACCGATTGAGATTGAAGGAGTTTTAGAGAAACACCCACATGTCGATAAAGTCATCGCTGTTGGCGTTCCTGATGAAAGGCTTTACCAGAAAATATGCGCCTGTATTATATTGAAAGCGGGTCACCATGACAACCAAGAAGCCCTTCGCGCCAAATTTGAAGAGTGGTGTAAAGGGAATTCCTGCGAGACAACTATTGGGTTGGCCATAAAACCGCATTATTTTGTGTTTTGTGAGGACTTTCCTCTGACGAGAACTGGAAAATTGAATCGAAGATTGCTCGCTGATATAGCAAGGAAAGAACTGGGCTTGTAGAGCTCTGGCCTCTTGCATAGGTCCACTGTTAGAGCAGTTTTACGTATGACTGTATTAATGGTTTTCACAGCCGCCATGTTGGATAGATTTAAAAAAAGATTCTTCATAAGTATCTTTTGTTATATCATCCAAAGTGTCTTCTCTTTGCAGAGATATTAACATTTGAAATATTAATATGCAAATGAGGTGACGTAAATTTTAAAATTTGTAACATTTTGCAGTGTATAAATTTACGGCAAGTGTTCTGAAGTGAAATAACCTAGAAGTGTACAAAACCATATATTTCAGTTATAAGGATGGTTTGCAAATGAAAAAAACTGCAGTACTTTCCACAACAGCATTTTTGAATAATAAATTAGTCTTGAATTWACGTCATCTCATTTGCATATTGATATTTCAAATGTTTATATCTCTGAAAAGAAAAGACCACATATACTGCAAAAATACTGCAACAATACTTCTACCCTGTTCACATATAAGTAATTAATTTGAGCCGGATATTTTATTCCCTTGATGTACACTTTAAGATTTTCCCTAAAAGCGCGATTACACGGACGGACTTGCGACACAAGTTGTATGGAGCATTGCAGCGCGCGTGTAACGTAAAGCGCAATTCGAAAAATGTTGCGAGACAAGATGCAGCAATCGTTGCAAGAAGTGGAATTCGTTTCTACTTTGGGCAACGATTGCGTCTCCGTTGTACCGTGTAATCAGTCTTGCAAACTCCTCGTATTCGCGCCTTTAAACACTGAATACAGGTATCCCAAACTGTGTAGTAATCATTATCTTCATAATGGTTAATAACAAAGCATTTTACTTATTATTAATAATATTTATGAAATTTAATTATTATTAATATGGAAATGGCTGTGAATCGCTTAATTCTCGTCTTAATCGCTACAAACCTTCACAGACAATCAAGAAATGATTGGGGAAAATATCGCCAGCTTTTATTCATCTTTATTATATATTTTTATGATTTTATTCTCTACTTTTACATCCCCATAATACCCNCTTCTTCTTCTTCTTTTCCTTCCTTCCTTCCTCCCTCTTCCTCTTCCTCTTCCTCTTCCTATTAGTTATTTTCCCCCTCCTCCTTCTCAGTTCTTCTTCTTCTTGTAGCAGTTATACTTCTTCTTTCTTAGTTCACCAACTTCAGTTTCAGTTCATTTTCCTCTAATTCATCTTTCTTTTGTTGTTTCGTTGTCTTTTTCTTTTTAATGACTCTCCTCCTTCTTTTCTGGTTTCGCTTTTCTTTGGGTATGAACATAAAATGTGCGTTATCCTAATTGTCATCGAGTACCGATAAAACTCAATTACGACCACGATGCACTCAATACCTCACCCGTTTAGAATTGTAACGAATTTGCCAAACTAGAGTAATTATACTCTGTAGAACACCAGTCAGTCGTGCATTGTGAAATATTGCTTTCTTGGACACGTCATTTAGCAGGTCTATTTTCAAGACCGTCAACTTTGGACACCTAGTTTTCTTTATCATTGATTCTCATTTTGGGAAAACTATGATACACTACATCATGTAAAAATCTTATTCCATTCAGTTTATGAAAAGGAAAGGAGGAAAATAGCGCTTGATTGTCTCGAATAATGTAAAGAAATTTCAAAGCTTCAGTTTCTTTCATCGGCTTTTGTTTTTTGTTTACGAGTTTGTGACGTTTTACAAACCATCTTTACGATAAATTGGACAGTTGTAAAAGGTTGAACGAATCCCAACATTGCTTTTCAGATATATTTCTTTTCTCTTGTTTCCCTAGCAGCAGCATAAAATGAACATGCAAACTAGTCAAGCAAATCACAGAAAATCTTCTGGTCCTAAATACACATAATTTCCCCATCAAACAATAGAATACCCTTAATCGCTATCCGATAATGACTTTATAGGTGTCTGATTAGTGTTCAAAATCAAAGACTTGTTTTCACGCATCAATATCGAACTCCCATTCACAATCCTATTGAGTAACGTGAGAAATTATTTCCATAGATCAAAATACTTAAATGACAAAGTAAAAATCTTGATTGCTCGTAGCTAGTGATTTCTTAAATGATTATTAGAAGTGAGTAAAAACTTGATGTGGTGACAGGGTTTCCTAGACAACAAATCCAATCACGGAAATTTTTGGTTCAAATTTGTTATTAACCATTAAGAGCCACGAGTTCAATATTATGATTATCAATTTATCTTGTCGATTTTGTTTTAGAACTGTTCTCAAAAATAAGACCAAGAATAACGAAAAAAGTTTTGAAAATTTTGAATTTTTTTAATTTCATTTCAACGAGGAAGTAGAAAATACTGTAATTTAGTTCAATCGTACCATTAACAAAAGTAGCTTAAAAGTTCTTGATGACTCTATTTAAAAGCAATTTTAAAACTGCACTGCTTGGCCATTGGTTACAGAGCAAAAATGTTACCAATAATAGCATATTAATGAATCGCTTTAAAGTTGTCATGTTACTAAAAACAATGTTGTCAGAGACGGGCTACTATTTAATGACAAGTTTCAGAGACATTGATGAACTACTTTGGACATATAATTACCTGCCTGCGTGCTTGGACGATTTCTCTCGGTTGCCGTGAACGCAGAAGTGTTCAGACAATCGAAAATATTTTTGGATGTTCTTTTGTACGTTTTCATGGTTCGTATGATTTAGGACTGCAGCTGTTTCGCGCTATTTCCGGGGGTGTAGGGGAGGGGGGATTGTGCCTGGAGAAAAAATAAAAGACGTTTGATTCAGAGTCTTGATATAATCTAGTAAATGGGATTTTTTTATCTACGAGACGATTTCTCGTCGACAAACTGAGGCAAAACAATGTTCGTTAACAACAACAACAACAACAACAATGCCAAGCTTATTTTAAAATCCGCCCTTTGATTAGAAAGGAACACTATCTTGTCCGCCTTCATTAATCCCAAACATCGATCGTAAATAAATATTTAAGAATTATTTTGTCACTATTCAAGCGGTTATTAGCCCTATTTTTATACTATGCTGATTTTGATTTCAAATCAATGCAACTGATGAAAATGATGAAAATGAGGTATCGCTGGACATCGTACAACTGCTGTTTGTGCTTATAAATTTGCAAATTTACGAAATTGTTTATTTTCGCCGCGCCCGCCGCTTCATTTTCGTCTTGAAGTTAATGAAAATCCGTGTGAATAAAAGTAAAGGTAGTTCTACAGTTTCACTGGACGCGTGGCTTGCTTAAGGCAAAAAAGGACGTTAACAAAGAGAACTACACTAAAGGTTCTACTAGTCGCCCCAGGGCAAACGACTTGTTTCTTTTGAATTCAAATCTTTAAAACAGAAACAATCAATGATTGAATGAATCATAAAACTGGTTGACTATTATCCAAGGAATAATATGCCTTCAATCATTCTTGAGTGCCAAAAAGCTACAAACAAACGTCTAGTTTTGACCTTCGTATCTTAAACTGATCGACAAAGGTGCTTTCACTCAAAAATAATTCGTGTGAGTATTGACTGATTTTCAAATGACAACAACGTTGGCTTTACGTGTTAAGTGCCGGGAGCACCAATCTTCTCGTGGGAACACCGAGCCGACTTTAACTTATACATTAATTTATAACAAGTTTGTGCTTTTTTTGGAGAACGAGACAGTGAAGTTAATCATTATAGTAATTAAATTATCTGAACTATATACAGTTTTATTCAATTTATTTTTTCATCTTTTGAACGGAAAACTTCCTCTCTTGTTCGTAACTTCAAAATATTATTTWAAAAACCACATTCCTGTTGTTTTATAAAGACAAAACACCGTTATCTTTATTGTCTTTGGGTTCGAATTCAATCAATTCGCTTTACTAGTATGAAATTTGAAACCAGAAAGGAAATAACTCTAGCAAAAGTACAGTTTTTAATCTAAATTCATATTTTATGAATTGAACTTAACCTTCTTTACACAAAACTTTGAAAAACCATGCATTAATTCGTATTCTTTCAGCTATAAGATTGAATCTAAAAACTTCATTTTTTTCTCGGTATTTTCCGGGTACTTCAACATGGTTGCTAGAGAAACGCAGCTTTTTTCTTGTGGATTTATAGTTGACAAGTTAATGGATAGATCAGAAGAAGTAGATTATCAACATTTAGGTGATGTCTTTTCTAAGAAATCTAATTAATTATATAGATGTTGTGAGTTGTCTCGTTTGCTATAGTTAATAATTTCTTGGGAGTTTTGTAAATTTAATAATGAAGATGGTAAATAAGATAAGAAAAGCAAAAAGGAAAGAAAGAGAGAAATGAAAAATAAGATGAAAGATAAATGAAACTGAACAAAACTAGAGAATGTACTTTATTTAAAGAAAGAAAGAAAGAAAGAAAGAAAGAAAGAAAGAAAGAAAGAGAAAGAAAAAAGAAAGAAAATCAAAGACAAAAGCTAAGCCATTCCTAATTTCTGAATTTATAATTTGACAAACAACCCTTTCACATATCTTTCCCCTTCAGCAATCTAAATATAACAAAAAGATCTATTTCTGAGATAGAAAACCCACTAAAACACCCAGGAGACAAACTGATATCCCATCAGAGAAAGAAACAATACAATAGATGTAAAATACTCTACTTGATATTCAAAGTATAAACAAAATGGAGATCTATAGACCTTCCCTCGTCCCTTTACAGCTTAATATTCGTATTAACTTCGTTTTTGGCAATTATCTTCATAGTTATTTACTCGATTTTTTTATTCAAAAGTTACGAAATTTTTATCATGTACAAATTTAGTATAATTATATAATGTCTTCTATAATGAAGTCAAAGGACGACAATCATAGGCGTGCAGCAAAATAATATATCTTGCCTTAAGCACACTTCGAATCAGTGTTCTATAGTCTCTGTAACAACTTTTTTTGTTTTGTTTTCTCCATAATCTTAGTCACTATATCATCAATTTAGAGGTCATTTTACTCTAAATGTTACTCGTAACGATTGGTGTATATTGATAGAAAATAAGTTTAGAGTTTATTTATTCGGTGTTACGAAAAGCAAAGCCATTCCCAAAATACTTGAACAAACAAAATGTTCTTAAATATAAATTTCGTAATTTTACTCTTAAGTAAATCCAAAAAAAAAAAATTTCCATGGCCTATATAATTGAGGATGCCACACAATGCTCTACTCTGAATTAGTATAGAGTTGATTAAAGAAGCAGTTAACGAATTCTTCATATACTAAAACCCAAATCCCAAACGTTGTTTAATTGTGAATATAGAACAACTAGACTTATGTCCTTCGCGTGCAGAGAACTCAACTGCATCGAGACGCTTCACAGATTTTGAAAGCAATTCTAATTATATACTCAACAAAATAAGCCCCAGATTTATTAACTAATAATACTTTATAATAGCTAAGTGAGTTCGTAATTTTATCCGTATTATACGTGGTGAATATATGAATGATCTGGGCTCTTTACATGATATAATCCTGTGTTATCAAACTATCTCTTTACGAAGCCTTTTCCTTACTTTTCGTTTTTTAGCCGTGGGCTATGCATCTTAGTCTTAAAGTCATATCACAAGGAACCGATCTTGCTACAGTTGATAGTCTTAAATCAGTAATCCTATAACATATGAAGCATCAGTATTCTTAGTACCAAATTAACAAACTCTTGCATTTTCATCATTCTTTTCATTTAGTTTTATTCCTAATCTTTTAATCCTTTCATCAAAATTAAAGAAAATGAGTCTTCAATATCTGCGTTTTGCTCGAGGCTTTTTTAAACTTTATGACTAAGCTTAGACTAGAGAGTTGTACGCGTAACCATGGTAATTCACAGAATCTTCCAGAAAGTATGTGTACACAGTCTCATTTCATCAAAACTTCAACGTACAAAAATGATTCTAATTCCAGTACCAGCCTAGTTTATTTGGCAGTAGGTGTTAAAGGCGTTGAGGGGTTTTCGTTTTTAAGTACTGTGTCGAGTTCTTGTCAGCGTTTTAAGGTACCCGAAGCTTAAGGATCGAAGGCAACTTGAGTTAATCGACCTAAGTGGCGATAATATTCCTTTCACATGAGATACGTTTGTGGTTACGCTTATACTTAGTAAAGGTATTAAACAATAGAATTCAATGACAAATAGAATCGAAGGAACGTTACACCATCTATGCAACATGAAGAGAGTACCCAACCTATCTGATCAGGTGCTTCTCGTACGTACGTTCTTCATGCAACGACTTGAACATTTAGAGAATGATTAAGCCGACAATAGCCAAACAAAGTGCCTGTTAAAGTCATACTGGCTTATTCCTATTGCAATCTAACTCCCAAGGGGCTTTTTACTCTTAGATCAATATTCCTAGGCATAAAACTAGAATCACATCAAATCTCTGTTACCAGAACAGGGGCAATTACTTGTGTAGAATATAATAAATGATTCTGCTACAAAATTATTACCATCATTATTGACCATCAACCGCTTCGGGCTATATATACTATAAGCTGGGAAGTTTGCCTCGCTCAAATCCAGATGTAAGGAATGGAATTCCTTTGTTCGTCATATGTATCAAATATGTGAGGTCTTCATCTTCCTCCGCCACACGTGGCAAAGATCTCTCTACGGCACCTAATTCTAGCACATGCTCTGTAACCATGTCAACAAAACCAGAGATCGTTGGTCAAAGTGTTAATGGAGTGTAATGATTTGAAAATATAACTAAATTACCTTGAGTTGGATCCAATAATTGAATCGTCTTGTTCTTTCGTACTCGAGAATTTTCTGAAGAAAAACTTTATTTTCTTACTCGATCAGTACAAAATTCATCAAAGATAGAATTCAAAACTACAGGACAAGTTCAAGCTCTTTTCCTCTGGATTGAATAAAGTCAACATTTTTGATGATTATATTGAACAGATTTATTTATTATCCATATTTTTCTTTGCTCAAGGAAACGCTAGTCTTTTTCTTGAGAGTTCGTACCATCTTGTTCTGCTTGGACAACTCTCTCAGTGGGGCTGTTTTGTAAAATCCTAAATATGCTTCGCTTTTTGGAAGTCTTAGAATAACAAAGTAGAAAAAAGCCTTCTTTGGATGTGAAATCGTCAAGACGTTTTCAAAAGTCGTTGTTAATATCCCAAGCACAAAGTATGGCAATTAATTTCGAGTATTTTAAAACTATAGAATATTATTATCGGGATTAAGTATGGTAGGGTACACGACATTTAGTATCGTCTTCTACCAAGGTTTGTTGAGGTAGATGCTGTCAATCACATATCGTCAATAGTTTTCAAGGGTGTTCTTTCTTTGTCTTTTAACAATGATCTGTACTTCACTTCTCTCTCATTATTGATGGCAACCTTTTCAGTGGCTAATTATTAGCCTGACAGACCATGACAAACGACACGGTAATTTGAATACAATATTAAACACATCGAAAGAAGGGAATACTCTCTTGTGATTGGCTGATGTGTTGTTATCACGCTATCTATGCCCGCCTCGATTCTTAATGTGCTATTAACGCTTCGAAGTAAGTATTCTGTTAATAGCAGTCTATTAGAAGCCCACTTCTAGAAAAGGGTCATTTCACACTTTGATCAGCAGACGAAAGAGACCCCACGATGATCCGATCCAAAGTTGCAGAGCGCGAATCTAAGACAGCAAACCAAGAACTCAAAGACAGTTCAGAGGTTTCCCCAGTCAAGGTACAGAACCACCATTCCATAGACGCCATTCTTGGCAGAAAGCAGGAAGGAAAGCAGCTAAAAAGACATCATCAGAAAACGGAAAACCCTGATGAATACTCTGACGATGAAGAAGATGGTGTCACAGATACCGAGCTCAGCTCCGGCGAGACTAAATCAGGTATTGTACGAAAACCATTACACTGTACTTAAAGACTGTGAATATATAAATTGATCTTAGACTAACTCACTAACTAGTTAAGATACTTCTTTTACGAAGTTATTCGATAACAAGTAATGTTCTCTTCAAAGATGATACAGGTGAGAGTTCTGCCAAGAAGAAGCTCAGACGCAACAGAACAACATTCACAACGTACCAGCTACACGAGCTTGAACGCGCCTTCGAAAAATCTCATTACCCCGACGTATATACAAGAGAAGAACTTGCGTTGAAAATAAGTTTACCTGAAGTTCGAGTTCAAGTAAGTATCCAATCTATATTTATTTATTTACTTATTTTACGAGTGTGGACTAATTTGATTCGCATCCTGTCTATTTACCTCCCATTAATGCAAGCTGTTTAAACGTTTTCCGGTTTTAAATATACAATTTTTAGTTTTCAGACGTTGATGAATATTTCTTTTCTGTTTAATGTAATAAATGTTCTGACAGATTCCGAGGCAATCACTTACTGAACACGAAAAATAAATTAGGTATTTAGAGGAGAAAGTCCTAAATATTATTCCACACTGTTGTCACACTTCTTCCTGGCACCATGCACGGGTTAATTTTCTAATAAAACCATTTTGTATTTCGTCGCAAAACTAGAAACTTCAACTCCCGACTCGGCACCTGCAGTTCAAAACTCGACATGAGAGATTTAAAAAAAAACGCGTTTAAAACATTGCTTTAGTTCCATGTCTTTTGACTTAGTTGTCCGCCAAAATTGTGGCGTTTTTATGAGGGAGATTCGTGTTTGTGTCAAGGATAAAGTTGATAATAAGAAATAATAAGACAGATAATATAGAATATTTTGTTGGATAGTAATAAGTACACAAATAAAAAGGCAATTACTAGGACCATGCTAATGTTTGCAGTCTTGATTAGGTGGGTATACAATTATCAACACTATCTATAATGTAGGTTATTATCACGCACTGTTATTAGCTCGCCATCATTTTTGTACTCAATATAATTATGAGGTTGGAATAGAGTACTTTAGAATATTATAAGCTTGTCTCAATTGTAACTCATTACTTCTGGGCTATTACTAAGTACCTATTAACTACTCTCCAAGAGTAAACGAGGCTTAATAATTATTCTTTAGGGATTGTTATTCTCGGGCTTAACGCAAAGAGAAAGTTTTTCAGTCAATTAAAAGATAGCGTTCAATCTTAGAAATTGGAAGGCTTTTGGCGCGCTCTAATTAGGTCTCATTAAAGCATAGAAAGTTATATATTACACAACACACACTCTTCAGAACTCCTTACGAAAAAACTTTTCTTCAGAAGGAAGCATTTGTCTTAAAAACTCTCGCTTCTTTACAACTTTAATCTCTCGCGTTTAGTTTTACTTTATATCGGCTTAACCGCTAACGTTTTTAGCGTCTCCAACAAAGTCTCGCCCTCCTTGTAATGATTACTTACTTCAATAATTTCCGTCTCAATAAGATCTTGCAAATTGGCTGATAAAAATTTAGCGATTTTTGTTATTGAAATTAAGAGTTTGGCACTTCTGAGCCCAGAAAGATGCCTCGCACAACACCACAATTTAACACTTCTCTAAGTACGGCGCATTATGACTTAAAGCGTTGTAGGTAAGGACGAAAGAAACCATTTTTCAGCAACTCATGACTCTGTTTCCTTGGCTATCAAGTCGTTTAAAGCAGTTCTCACCAGGGCAACGTTGAAAAAAACGTCACAGTTTTCTTCCAGAAGTGAATAATTGGCTCGCAATTAGTGTGTTATTTTCGCTAATTGTATAAATTCGGTGTGCTACCCTATTGAGTTTCATGACATCATAAATTTCACCTGAAGTTTCATCTTTTTTTAAAGTTTTGAGTCACATAGGTTTATAGTTCATTATTTGACCAGRTATCCCACGGCAATAAGATTACAATATCTCTATGTGTAGCCTCGGGCAGGAATTGAACATTACCACACTTCCAAAGCACTTCTTCTTCAAGGAAAATCTCGACTCGAACTATGAGACCATCTTTTAGATATTTTTTTGCAAGTTTTAAAATCAACTTCCATATTTTCTTTCCATTTCGTGAAAAATAAAAAGACTTCAAAGTTTTTCCAAACATTCTGTTTACTAACAAATTAACTTTATAATTAACGAGTATATTTTCATAACAAGGTCGTCGTTTATATTAATACTAGAAGGTGGTAGGAAAGCAGCCTTTTTCACTGTCTCGTCGGACAGCTAATTAGAAGCGAGATAAAAACCTGCTATGAAGGCTTGTAAATATTTAACGTTCTAACTCAAAGAGAAATTAGACTCCTGGGGTATGTTTAATGATGGTGGTCAAGTCGAAAATACAGCGCTCTTTGAAAGTAAATAATTAGCTCCAAGAAAATAGATTGCTACCAAAAAATTTAGGCGGAGTAACTCGAAAATAAGGCGAGTGGTTTCAACCAGTTCAGTCGTAACCTTATGTGGTTGTCGATAGATTATTAGCTTTAAGTTTCTTGAAAATAAATATTGAGTGAAAGCAAAATCGGATCAGTTGTCGGTATTTCGCTTTTTTACCACCACAAACTGTACTTCTGTAAACATATCCTCGCTCGAAGGAAGAAAAACAAAGTCGTTTATCTATCGTTCAAAACTGCAGTATGAAAGTACACGAACACCGTGAAAAAGTGCCTCATTTGGAATCGAAATTGGAGTTTTTATGCATAGTAATCTTTTTCAAATTAAGTAAAGTTCCAAGCTAATTTTGTTTAAGTTAATTGATCTTAGCTTAAGTCCATTGATATTAAAATAATCTCATAATTTCCCACAAAAGTGTTAAACGTTTAATTATGTAATATTATGACTCAAAAAAATGAAATTCGTTCTTGTTTGCTTTGAGCGTTGAATTTTCTGTACTTCGACTTGTGAATCGATGTGGCTTTTTGTGGTTTTAATTCTATTAGTTTTTCTTATTTTGAGCAGGTGGAATTTAAAAATTAATGTCAAAAAGTTTAGTTTCTGAAGATTTAAAAACGATATAATTTCCAGCAATATTATTTCTGTAGAGATATCGATGTTTTTGTGTTTTCGTTATGACTGAAGTAAGCAGTGATGATATGATACAAGCTAGTTATTCGACGCTAAAACATGTTTTTCGTGTTTGGAATCTTATCTTTAGGAGCCCTTAACCGCTCCAAGGTTCCTCGAGGGAAAACATCACAAAACGACTGCTAAAATCCACACACGACAAAAATTAGCCTTTTAGATTTACAATTATTTTGTATCGCAGTGTTTATCTATTCAAAACTTTAGCACTGAATTTTAGCTGACAATTTATGCCGTTAATATTATGTTAATAAACATGTACAGCTTTAATGATGTCAATAAAAATCATTAACAATTAATACCTATGTTCAACTAACTGTTTTTGGTAGTGATAATTTGATAATTTAGGGTTTAGGAGTCGAAACTCGAGGCTTTTTTTCAGACGTCATTTATATTTTCTCGACTTTTTAGCAGATATTTTTTGTTTCTATGAGTGAATAGCGCTTATCAAGGATCTCTTTATCTATCTCGTTTTCCTTTATACTTATGTAAGAGCTAGATTTAAATATTAGTGTTTTAAATTGAAAATATCCGCCCAAAGGCATCTGGTTTATTCAGCACTTATCTAGAATGAGTTCTGAATAATACATTGAAATGGCTTCTAAAAGGAAATTTTCATATAGCTATTAAATGGCTTTCTCATATTAATGGCTTTTAAAAAGAATGTTTCGATAGCTTCTAAAGGGTTTACCATTGATAAAACGTCTTAAAACCCCCTAGTTTTTTTCTTTAAATGTATTAAAACTGCAAAGTTCGGGCTTAAACATTTGATTAGATATTGAATAGGTTAGTATTCAAAAGGGATCCCTTAATTGGCACTCAAATGGCTCACTTTTCGAACAAAATCTATTTGTTAGATAATTTCTTCAAAATATAATTCCATTTTCATTTAACTGGTTTATCTAAGGATAAATTTCTCCTTTCTTACTGACCACATTCTCTCAWTTTTCGATAGGTTTGGTTCCAAAACAGACGAGCCAAGTGGCGGAGACAGGAAAAACTAGAGATGGCGACCCTGCAAGATCTCCCTTCACCCTCTTTATCCCGTAGTAGCGGAGGGTACGGGAGTCTCTCTTTCTCCGATATGTGGAAAGGTTCTCTCCCTTTCGCTTCAAGTGCATATGGTACATACGGATCTGCTCTCTACGCCGCGTCAGGAACAGCAGGAAGTCCATCCCCGGCTCTCGGGTATTTTACCCCATACGGTCATTCAGCATTAGCTGCATATTCCTCGTATTTACCCGCGCAAATCGCCTGCCCGGGCGCTCTTTCAGAAATGTCTCTCGCTATGAGTCCGACTTCTACCTCAAGTTCGAGTCCTACAGACGAAAGGTCTTCAAGTATCGCCACTCTACGATTCAAAGCTAAAGAACACTTGGAAAATATAGGAAGAGCTGACGATCCTCCCATAGTTGCTGTAGAACTTGTAAATTAGAGATCTAGTGAAATGTTGTAATTATGAAAATTGTACTGTAAAGTAGAAGGATTGATAGCTTAAAGAGGGGAATATTGGTGTATGGGAAACTCTACGTTATTTTTGAATCATCACACACGTGCTTAGACATTCTCTACTGATAACTATATATTGGTGTATAACTGTTATCATCTTATCGCTACCATCTTCTTAATGGAAAATGATAACGATCTAATGCTTATTTAGTGTCATTTATGACACTTATTTATTTTCTTCTCGAGTGACGAAAGTACACCGTTTATGTTTGGCAGATTTGTACAAACTATTTTGCGATGTTTACATCGAAGCGAGCGCGCGATGAAATCCTATTTCTTCTAGCTTACATATTTTTAAATTTTACATCACTGGCAATGAAGATTGGCCACTCATGGTTTTTCATAGTCACATCTTTATGGTTTTTCCATTTTTTATTTCATTTATCCCGTCTTTATTTCTTCATTTCCAATTGTCAATGTCAGTATTTCTTCCATGTCACAACATAGACACAGCCATCATCATATTATTTATCTCGCTATCATAAACAAAAGACAATAACAAACTTGTCAGAAACTTTTTTTGACGATTGAAATATTTTCACGCATATCTTCTACAAACGCAGCAAATATCTTGGCTGTAATTAAGGGTAGCTAAGACCACGCAATGCAATGTATATATTTTGCTAAATTGTAAAGTTAATAAACACGATTTTAATGAAGAGTTGGAATTAATGAAGTCTTTCAAGACTCTTTTTTTTTATCCCAAGCCGATTGAATTAGATGGAGTTCTGTTTGGGTTAATGAGTGTTTTTAAGCTTTGAATGAAGGTGTTATATCTTTATTGACACGTATATCCAGTGTGTTTACTGTAAGCAGGTTACAATTACAGAAAATTTTTAACTAATTTAATATATTTTTTAAATTATTCTCTCTCTCTCTCTCTCTTTCTCTCTCAAACGTCTAAACGTCTTTTTCTTACTTCTTAAATATAGAGCGGACGAAAATAAATCGTAAAGTTTTGGCCCTTTCCTTTCGAATATAGGAAAGAGATTTCTGTGAGTGGTTCTTAATGTATTCAAGATTATTTCAGCAAAGTTCCAGCTCGAATGAAAGAGTTTTAATTTTGGAGCGATTTTCGTCCAAGTGGCCCTTTAATGGATTTTAAGAACATTTTAGCGTTTAACTTTGTCTAAATTATTGACGCAAACTTTCGTTTTTAATTTTATCCTGTTTTCTCTAATAATTTCCATATTTTTATCCTCTCTTATCTTCCCTTATCACGGAGGAGAGGGCAACATTGCCAAGCCCTGTGGGGGGTAGAGTGACTCGTCTCTCCCCTAGGAGGGTAGAGTGATCGAAAATGGGTGCGCATCGATGGGCAGTGTGCGCATCACTTTGTACTTTACTTGTCRACATTCCCTTAAGTATTATTTCTTTCTTAACAAGTAATACTAGATGTATTTGAAAGACAAAACAGTAATACTTAAAGTAATGACCTCGATACGAAATAATATTCAACCCAAAATGAAGAGCGGGATCTAGAGAAATGACGATAAAACCGATCACACAACTTTCTTTTGAGTTAACTTTTCATTTTAATAAAATATTTTTGGTCCTTTGATATGGGAACAGAGAATACGTAATGAACAAATCTCAAAGTCAAGCATAAATATATATAACTGATATAACAGATGCCTGGAGAAATCTTTTATACACTTATATTTCAAAAATATTGTAGAAACCAAAGGAGATAAGCGATAGGATATAGATTATTCCAGGATCTAAGAATAGCTTGTGTATCTTCTATTTACTCATTCTAGACAAGAACAACCATGGACCTTAGTGTTGAGATATCCATTGTTGTTTGTATTTCCTTTTCATCTTGTAGTGAGCTATCGCCTATCTCCTATCTCCTTTGGCTAAGACAAACTTTTAAAGTAGGTGTCATAAATAATTAGTATTCGACCTTGTCATACCCAGTAAATGCAAAGCAATTTATTCTCCGCGCGCAGGCAACAAAGTCCTTACTTTTACAAGCCAAATTTAAGTCCCACACAGACGAGCAACTTTGYTTAGAACAGACTTAAGAAACGTTAGCAAAAACAATTTTCTGCGTCTTTTTAGGACAGTTTTTCATGAGGTAACTTCGGTACTCCGTTGATATTTGTGTTGTGAGCAATCTGTTGCATGCAACTTTACTTTTGCCTTTATGGACCCTCCCTCAGGCGTGGAAGACAAACTCATATTTCATAGATTTCGCAGAATACTGTACTTACATCGCGCAGTGTAATTCTCGCAACGCGCAAGGCACAGTCTGAATCTTAARCTAAGGACACACTSTGCAACATTGCGCGCAATGTTGCATACAATTGATGTTGCAGGCCATAACACACGTGGCAATTTGTTGCACGCAACGTTGCTGAAGTAGAAAACTATCCTACTTCAGCAACATTGTCTACAATGCTGCGCGCATTGCTGTACCGTGTGTCCGTTCCTTCATTCGCTTGCTTTATACGCATATGACCGAAGTTTAATCTAAGACTTTTTACAGATGAATGAATRTATGATTCTTAATACTTAAATACTAATGGCAACGCATATTCCATCAACACCGCGTGTAAATTTAAATAYTGTGTATATTTACAAATATCGTTATGTTTATGATGTTGAGAACGAATGATTTCAAGTTTTATGACCATAGAAATATACCTAAAAAATTGCAGATATAATTTACTTAATTTAGAAATTGCTGTGCGAACTACTAAACCAGTTTTTGCGCACGAATGTTGAGTCATACTATATTGGATACAAATCAATTTTTTCATTTTCTTTTAAAAACTAGATTCATCATGATTTAGTCTTAATATCTTCATTAGGYGATGACAATGATTCCGAGTGCTTCCTAGCTTTGTGTCTTAAGTCGTCTATACTAGTCTTTCTAACTTCTTGATTCAGTTCTGGGGAGCCTGKTTGAGGTGTTTTCATGTATGGAATCATTGAAGGATGGAAGTAAGGATGTCGCATCAGAGATGGCGAGTAAAAGCCCACGCCGTTTGGTGAAAGCGGTGATACTGCAGGMGACAAMGGAGACATDGGACTAAAATGTGGACCAAATGGACTAAATGGAGGAGGTGCTGCRGCATATGGAGAGACAAGGCTAAGCGCAGGGACATGGTGGCCCCATCGCTCTAGCAACCCTGCTGGTACTCCAGGCATTGACCACCCCCCATGTAGCTGCTGCATTTCTTGTATCGATCTTTGGTACTCTGCGCCGGCTGGGTACACGTAGTTAGGACTCTCATGTCCTAGAGCTTTCTCTTTCTTACGCCATTTGGCTCTTCTGTTTTGAAACCAGACCTAAAATAAGTCAACAAGACATTATTATCTTTTTCAAACCATTCTAAAAGGCCAAACAGTTGAAATATCATTAGAACACTTTTGTCAACTGTCAAATTCACTACTGCCTGATTTGTCAGTAGACTAAAAATAGCATGGTTATTTACTAAATAAAATAGCAACGAGAACCTAGCATTCGCATTCTTAAACCATATTTCTGATATCTTCCTATTGGTACGAGATTTACTGTGTTTCTTCTTGACACAGGGTTCCCAACTGAGAAAATGTAACTTTTCAAATATGGTGTAAAACTATTATGTAAACTACTATGTTCGAGTTTCGTGAGCGCCCAAATAATAAATGTGACTTCACATGCTTCTCACTATTATCGTCAGTAATGGATGCACTGATTTCACCAGATTCTGAGGGKTTTTTTTATATAAAAATACACTTTAATATTTCATTCGGTTTAGTTCTTTTTGCCATACCTGATCGGTCTGGATGGATTTAATGGCAGAGAATAAAATACCACATAAGATAATGATGGAACAGCATTAAATCTTGTGGTTAGAATCACTAGGATTATCCTGATACTACGAACCCAGACGAAAATATCTTTCAAGATGTTCTCGCTACTTTCAACAGGCACAATAATAATAGAATCAAAAGAAAGAAGAAAGAAAGAGAAGTACAAGATACAGTAAGGAAAAGGAAAGCGTCCTCGTTCAGATTGATTGCTAACAAACCGCATCGAGACAGTATTTTTTAACGTCCGTTTGTTTTAAAACAAACGATTAATGATTTATAAGTGAACATTCACTTTGATTCATCTAGGCGGGGTATCAATTATAGACAGTAATGAATAGTAACTTTATACCGATAATAACGTTACTGGCGGGAGGAAATTAATCGGATTATCTCGCCTTAATGATATCRAAAGGTTTTAGACTTAGTAACAGAAGGTTGCTTATATATACTTAGTGCTCGTAAATTAATCATGATTGGTATTAATCTGATCAAACTATTTATAAAAGGTGAGGTAGAAATTCTAGAAGGAAGGATCGAAAGTCCTTGCAAAATGCAATCTGTAATACAATCAAAATCCATAAAAAAACGTGAAAAATTCATTGATACGGATATAAATATTGGACCACTGTATGAATGAGTCAGAATAGTAAACATTTGTAATTAGTTTGAATTCCATGTTCGCAAACACTACCTACAGGAAAGAAATTTATTTCAAAACTAACTACAACGAAAATTTAACTTCAAAGTGCCACAAAATAAAATATTCAAGTCCATTATTATCTTACAGAAAAGCTAAACAGCTTGTTATCGTTTCCAAATAGTCCCTTGTTTCTCGCATATTAATTAGAGACATAACACCGAACTTGTTAATTCTTTCTAACACTTGAAAAAGTTAACTCTTCAATCAAGAGAGATTAAGATCTGTCATCGCCTGTCTTTTGGAGGGTTGTGTTATTGTAGTAATGATCAAGAAGATAAAAGAGCAGAAAAAAGCCTTTTGATTGAACATGTGATAAACTAGATAATACTGGAATTAATGTGTTTAATTTATGTTCAAAAACATTTCCAAAAAATATAWAAACAAGTTTATTCTCGCGAAAAAAAGCTTCAACTCTTTACTTTCTTATGTCAATATTCAAACTAAAATAACGAAAATTAAAGATTATTGTTGAAATCTTTACATTAATCTCTAAAAAGAGATCAACAAAACATAACGAAATGATTAGCTCCAGGCAACAATGAGAATTTTTTAATTATTGCAGAACAGAACGTTTTGAAAAGCCAAATATCGTTTTTTTAATTTTTACAGTCTTTGTTCTCACAGTAAGTTGAACTTTARCGAAGACCAAATCATAACACGTAGATCTAAATCTACTCGGAAAGATGTGTGTCAGTAAATGTCGAGTCCATAAATCTCATATCAAGGTGTTTTTTCTATATACTAATAATGATTACAATTTAGACTTAATTAACCCGGATATAATGAGTTTTTGTTTGTCAATCAAAGGTTTCTCGTGTGGTACATACATCTTTTCTCTCCAGCAAAACCAAGCGGCATGAAGTAAACTATAGCTCTAGCTACCACATTATATTAAACCTAAGCATCTTAGATTCATAAACAAATTATATATTCACTGTATCGTGTATTGGCTTAGCCATCTAATATCCCCAGATAGGATAACGTGTAAAACAGACAAGTTAAGTTGATTGTTTAAACGTGATTTTAATCTCATCGATAGAGTGTTTGGAAAAAAACTGCAAACAGCCCAAGGGTTTATTTGCTTTTCTCCGCATGGGGCTAATAGCTAATGCAAATTACTCGCGTAACAAAACTTCAGAAACTCGTCGATTTTATCTTCCTACATGTTTATCAAACTCGTGTAATGTGTATAAATTGTAATATCATCATTTAACATTCCATGTTGTATTAAGTTTGTATCAAGGAAATCATTCAGTTAGTGTTTTATCGTCTGACACCAACTCAGTTTCGAATCCCATAGCCTTGCACTAAGAGCAAGTTACATCTGTATAAGGCCATTTCGTGCTCAAGCTAACGGTCTAGTAATCCTATCGACTGCTGAATGTAGACTTAAACTCGTGTCTTTTCGAACGTGTCTAAATGAATCAACAATRATGTATACATTCTTGAGTGGATGTGTTCGCTATAAAATCACGAAAATTTATTATCCGACCGTTGTGTCCTCAGCCCAAAACTAAAGTACCATCGAAGCGTGTGTTATCATTTGAAATCGAATTTCAGCAATTTCTCATGACAAATGAAATCTTCAAAATATTGTTAACAAAACGACTTTTCAGGAATTTTTTAAATATATATATATCTTTGAACTTGTGTTTTTAAGTTCTATCGGTGATAATATTCGTGTTCATACAAGTTTGCTATCGAGTYCTTGGTATAGTATCGATATTGTACGCCATATTCAAGAGGACGAATATTGTATTCATGTATCACACATGTTTTTGCCTCTCCAAGATTGGTTATTACTCTCTCAGTAAAAACACATACAAACACATGAACACGCGCCTTCTTTCGCAATAAAGTCTTTATTCAAAATCCCAGTTAAACTAGGTTCCTTAACTGTTCAGCACCTGTCCGCGTTATTTTACCTTTTGGTAAGTTATCTTTGATTGAAAAATGCGACCTCAAAAACGTAATTCATCTCATATTAAACACTTAAATTGAAAGTTCAAAGTTTGATTTYGTTTTTCATCGATAATTTTACGAAAACAAACAGGATGAAAGCATTATCAAAAACCTTGGGATTACAAACTTAACTAATTGTTACCTCCAACAAGATATCAAGCTATCGAGTTACTAGTTCTCATCAAACACTTTACCATTGATATTCTTTGATATCAATACCTAAGTAGCTGATTCCTACCCCTATTGTATAACTAAAATGTCGAGTTGAAAGAGTCTAGCGGCGATAACATCAAAAGGAATTTTWAAAATGAATGAAAAACTCAAACTAGTTTTTCAACTTACTTCGATACTGGGATATGACCCGGCCAAATTAGCCTTTTTTTACATTTAACTTAAATTATTTGCCAATTTAAAGCAGGTTTTATGATTTCAAAATCGACCACGTTGCAGTAGTTTATCTCTTAAATCAACATCAAATATAGTATGGATTTTATTGTTCTCTAAATGTATTGATATTAATTATCTGACAAACTGACCCCCAATTCACACTACTCTTCATCAACGCAAACATTTGATTTTCAATTAATTCACTCAATTTTGTATCGACTTGTAGAGTTTTAATTGGTCATTAGTGTCCATTTAAGAACGCTTGGCAACAGATATAGCACACTCTCTCTTATCAAATTGATATCACCTCGAGAAACTTCCAATTCATATCTTATTAATTTTACTTGTCGTATTATCTTTTTTTTTTTTTTCAATCAACCTTTTCTTCTTCATTTAACCTTTCTAACTTGTTTTCTTTCATATGATTTTTTTTCTAATTTTTATTCATGTTTTTATAGTCATTGTTAATTAAAGATTCTCCCTCGATTTAATATTTTAGCACAGTTCCATAGGCAAAATGTAAAATATATTCTTAAATATGAACAGTCGATGCAAGAACAGATCAAAAATACGGTCATCGAGGCGGTATTTACTAGTGGACTTCTAACTCAAAAACTGGTAAAACCACTGAAAAGATCCGCTAAAACCAAAGAGAATTATAGTAAGTTTAAACAATTTCGTTTGTTTTGTGATTAAGAACAGTATGTCTTGTCTTTTGATCAAGACTCCTGTTCCAAGCGGTCTCATCTCTGCAAACTTGGGCACCGAAGTATCGTGATTAATTACTGGCTTGTAAAACTAAGACAATTCTAATTAAAGGTGACTTTGAAGTCGGTATTGCTTTAGGCTGTGCCGATGCCATGCGTCATAGGTCTTAATTTCAAAGACGGGCGAAAAAAGCTAATACGTTCTGAAGGACCAATCGATACCTCGATGACTGTTTCAAATAATCTCCAACTACCATTTATTTAAACATAAATAAGATACTTCGATATCTAGACTGGAAACTGAATTATTTTTTCATCGCGAGAAAATTTATTACAACATAAAATAGAGAATACGGGAATATCGAATTGGTTATCCGTTTGATGATAAATTATAGGACAAATATGAATTTGTTTGGATCGTAGAGTTGTATTTATTGGTTATAATGAGTCAAGTAAACACGGAAAGGAACGTAGTGTTTTAACTCAATTTATGAGGGTACAGTTTTCACAGCAGTCATAGAGTGTTTAATTAGTAATTAACAGTAATATAGCCAACCGTTATCTGATCTACTATGCTACGTTGGGAGCGAACCACCGATATCAACATATAGTGTTATGGCTTCAAGGAACTTTATGGTCCAATTTATAATATTCCTATCACATAATTACTAGTAAATTGATAATTTGAGATAGCAAGATTAGCCTAGACAACTCACCTGGACCCTTGCCTCGCTCAAGTCAAGTCTCAAAGCCAGTTCCTCACGTGTAAATACATCAGGGTATTGTGTCTTCTCAAACGCGCGTTCAAGTTGATGTAGTTGATACGTCGTGAAAGTCGTTCTACTTCTTCTCATTTTGCGTCCTTTGTTATCATCACTTGGACTGTCGTTGCTGTAGATCTCGTCTTTTTCGTCCGGACTTGGAGCATCGTCTTTAATTAATGACATTTATACGTTCTATCAAAATTATGATACGCTAATCTAAAGACATGACAAGAGTCTATTGACGTTTTCAAATTATTTCAATAGAAAAACCTTTATATAAATGAAAAACACACGAAAAATGGCCAAAATTGTCTATTTGCTTTTGCACTTTCTATGGGAATTGCAAAAGGRTTAGGCTTTTGGGGGTTGCGATCTTAGGGAAAGAGAATTAACTCTCCGCGCACCAGAGTGTTTAAATATATTTAGAAAGAAAGTCTTGTGATTTGATACGGTTAGTGATTTTATAAGAGCATAAATGTCCATAGCGTCAAACACATGTATTAGGTAGTTGGTATGTTGGTTGAAAGAAAGAATTACTTAAACACTTAGAATATCCCTGCTGCGTTTGCCATTAACGATAGCAACTATAGACGATTCACTTAGTGTATAGTACTTAACTTTAATGAGATTAATCTCTGCAGTAGATACGAGTAAAACGAATTCAACAAAGTATTTAAAAGGTAATAAAGTCTTACCAACATCGCTAGACTCGTCTTCGACTGACGTTGAGATTTGTTCGGCGTTCTGCGAGGTTCGGTTCTGGGGCTGTCGTCTCTCGTTGCTGCCACCAAGTATCATATCAATGGTATAACCTTTACTGGAGGCCTGAATTAAAGCTGACTCTATAGAGTGATTGCTCTTACTCTGTGATTGAACCTCATCTAGSGATCTCTCTCTTTCCCCTACACGATACATCATGCTTGGTCGATTTAAGCTGTTCATTACAAATCTGGTACTGACCCTAATAACAAGCCGAAATGTAACCGCGAATGCTCGTGCGTTCCCAAGAACAGCCCTTGTCTTTACAACCTGTTCGAGCGAGTTCAAAACCTCTAATGAATGCAAATTTAATATTTGCTTTTAATCTAAGCGCTTTTGTTTGGTAATCAAAATGACCGTATGTCAGTTTCTTAATTAGTGTTTATTTCACAATACAATAGGCTAAGAATAAATAACCTTTAACGATTGTCCAATCACCGAGCGAGAAGAYAATTCAGCTCTGTTGGCCGGTTCGCCATTCTAGATTCTGACATCATCCTATGCGTGTTTCCTACCTTCTCGACACCTACTTCAACTATTTATTTTATAAATTAATAAAACAACATTTGGACATTTAAGGATACTCTTTAATCACCACCTTGCTTTGATAGTTAGAGCCAAATGAATATTAAGGACTTGTAGCTTTAATACCTTCTTGTTAGGGCTATTTTGGGCGCAGAATAGGGAAAATTAGCGGCCAATCAACCTAATTAAAAGAGCTGTATCGCCATGGCTATGAGGATAAAAGCGGGCGGTGTTTATCTACAGCAAATTTACTTACGGTGTAATTTATTTTCATTAATACTGATGCGCACTTGTGAGTTTTCAGTCAATCAGCCTCATCTTGGATTTTTTGATGCAGGAAGTTTGAAGAGCGCATTTGACAAAGTTAAACATGATTACCAGACGATTGATCAATTTCCTGTTATACACTCGAGGTAATTTCAAGCTAAGCTTTCACAGTTGGAGACCTCGCCAAGCAATTTTGTCTCATTACAGTGAAAAGATAATCCAACTTTATTATGGCAACCTACTGCGATTAAACAATTCTTCCAAAGTTGTATTACGCTAATGGAAAACAGCAGGGCGGCATAGGTTGTGTTGTTTTCTTTTTGTTTATTCCTAGTCTAATGTATTCACTTGGTATAATTAACGGACAATCCCTTGAGTTGAGATACAAAAGCATTGTAAATTAAATGAATACAGGRACAATAGAGTTTTAGGTCGTGATAGGATTGCTGTTTAATTTCTAGCTGGAGGGGTGGTTGTTGTTTATATTATTTCTTTCCTCTGAAGGCCTTTGTGATGCTTGTTTCAACACCTCCTCGCCAACTGTGTGGGACTGACGAGCCTAAATTCGAAAAACCAACGCATCTCTGTCCTTCCTGGTTCTCAACTAACTCAAAAACCTCCTTACATCCAACGGCTGTTACAGAAAACTACATAGGTCCCACTCTTGAAAGGAATTTAGCTCGAACAATACATCGGACTAAGCTTCRTTTTACTTGGATTTGTTTATTGTTTAGAAGAATTTGTGTGGTCTTTGTGAAAAGAAGTCCAATATATCATTAGTCATCACYGATATAAAAAACGTTTTCTAATAACTCTTTTGATACTCTGATTACCAAAAGGCTTCACACCAGCTTTTCACACGAGACATTTATGCAAGCAATATGCTTATCTTTGCAGTGACAATTTCAAATTGAATCATATTACACCTTTTGCTGTTCATTAACAGAAAATGTACATTCATTTGTGCCAATAGTYGTATCAATAACGTGTAATGTACTTTCATCAACACCACAAGTAACATCATTAGCGCGGATCAACTTTCAATAACGACAATTAAATATGCGTGTGCATTCATAGACATCAATGGACAATCAATAGCGCGTTCGTACATTCATATGCGCGGAATGTATTTTCTTTTGCGCGAAATTCAACTTCAACTAACACCAAATGACAAACAATAGCATTTATGGATAATCATTTAACCAAAAGGGAAAATTCATTAGTGCTATTAGCATAATCATTGACAATCTATAACGCGTTTGGACAATCATGAGGATCAATGTTATATTCTATAGCGTGGTTCGACAAACATTTGCACGATTCGAATGAACAATAAGAGAAATAAAACAATCATTTATTTATTTTAGCCTTTAATTTCTTCGCCATTTATACATCGTGGCAAATACGTTTGCATATAACTGAACCACTTACCACATTTAGCGATAGTGATAGTTGCCACATTTCTCTGGAACCCTTCCATTAGCAACTGC